CACTATATAAGTGAATTACAATCTTTATTTTGTAAGAAGCGCAAAAGTGTAAAAGTGTAGAAGTGTAGAAGTGTTAAAAAAGGTTGTTAAAAGGTGTTTTAAAAAGTATAGTTGGATGTAAAAGTGAAAATAAAATCTGAATTTAAAAGTGAATTTTGTTGTCTTCAATGTAGTAAAAGTTAAAAAGAAATTAAAAGGAAAAAGTTTAGAAAATCTGCTACAGGCCCCATCTGGGTAACCCCGTTTATTTACCCCGTTATAGGTATGAGGGGGTCGGGGTCATCCTCCATCATACCTTACATTGTTAATATACAATATACATGTTGCAAAATAATTATATTCATGTAAATATTGTCAAATACATCTACAGTATATACTTTGCATATAAATATAAACAACATACATACAATAAACCCAACTATTTTCCAAAAATATTTTACCAATAAAGAATACTACTTATTAACAATTAAACAATCTGTTACGAGGTAAAGTTTTGTTTCACATGTTAATTGTAGTTTAATCAATTAAGGATCTTATAATTGACCATCTATTATTTTCATCATCTGTCAGATGTGTATTTCTATAGATATTCCATGCTAGTTTCAAACTATCTTTAAAACCAATACATGTAGGTAAAAAAAAATTTCTCTTAGACAAATAAATATATCTTTTCAATTCTAGAAACAATATGTCATATTTAAAATCTTTAGTTTCTGTACCTAATATGAATGATTTACAACAAAGAACATCATCAAAATTATGTAAGTTTTCTCTAAGGTATTGAAATAGCCTTTGAATTTCTGACATTCCCAAAATAAATGTAAAAGTGTTTCTTCACAGCATTTACAAAAAGTACACATTTTATTGTCAACAATTTTCATTTTAAACAAAAGTGAGTTTGTAGCTAAAGTTCTATGAATAATTCTTGTTTGGAACCACTATTATCCAAAAAGGGGCATATGTACCCCTGCATGGGACACAAATACAACCTAAGTCTTAAACCATTTAAGAATTAACACGACGGCGTACATGGTAACCTGCTCGAGACAATATCAAAAAGCCAACTACTTAAGTCATCTCAGTTTTCTTGAATTAAGATCCCCTACTACAAATATAGCTCCCCAATTTTGTAAATAGTTGATATCAGTTTCTAATTGTTGAAATAAGTCTATTTCATATATATTATGAAATGACGAATTTTCCGGCGGAAAATATGTTATTTCTAAATATATATCTTCTTCGGTATGAAAAAACATCCCAAGTTTCAGCCATACAATGCAGTCTATATCTTTTTTCACAAGTTTAACACCTTTTCTTATATTATCTTTAATGTAAATTATTATTCCAACACTATGACGTTTAGCTTTTCTGTGCTGGAAGTATCTATAAGAGTGAATAGGATTACTATAGCCGATGATGATTATTATTATTATTACCGATGATTTACCTGTCCAAGTTTCTGATAAGCAAATTACATCATATCCGATAATGAGTTTTAAGAAGTCGCAAGAAGAACGCTTTGCTAATGTTAACCCTTCGACATTCCAGGAACAACATTTCAAAACACCCTCAGCTTTATCCTATACAGGCCCTCTATACAGTTGTTTATCGATGTATAGTTTGTCCACACTGAGATAAGCTTCTTTCCCCCCAGACCGGGCTTTTTTCATAATTGGAAGGAGTTTTCTTCTTTTTTCCATAACTTCTGCCGGGAATTGTTCGCTTATTCCGTAGTGGGTATCTTTAAGATGCTTTGCAGACTTTCGTACCTTTTCACGATCAGAGAAATCTCTGAATTTTGCCACGATTGGTCGGGTCTTGGAAGGGGTGAACCCGCCGATTCTATGTGATCTTTGGAGTTTAATACTAGTTTTTGCATCAGTGATCTGTAACTTTGATTCCATTAAGTCTAATAATTTAGATTCGCAATTTTCATCTTTTTCTTCTGGGATATTAAAAAATAGTGAGTTATCCCCCATGTTCCTGCATTTAAGGTCTATGATCTCCCTCTGAAGTCCGTGTTCCCGAGCAATTTGATCAGACTCCATAGTTTAACTTTGCCAACTGTACATCAATTTCATTTTGTTTTGATTTGACTTGGTCTAGTATATCGCTGTCGAAAATTCGACTTGTTTCAATGTCCTTGATTTTGGCCTCTAATCCAGTGACCTTTTGGTCAAGCGAGCTTATATTTACAGTTATACTGTTTACATTTGATTGTATAGAGTCTAATTGACTTTATCGTTTATCCATTGTGTCTAGCCGCTGTATTATCATTGAAAACATGTCCATTTGTTGAGAATTGTTCAGTGGGGGCTGTGTATATTGTGGCAGTGTCAAAAACTGCGTATGAGGGGGTAGGCCTTGATATCCCGTTGTATTTGATGCATATATTCCAGACAGGGATGTTGGACTCTGGGCTGACATGGTGTTGCGTTTACCGGGATTTTCATCTAAGTAATTAAGAGATGACTGAGATTTAGTGCTTTTTTCTTGCCCATTTAATATTAGTACATAGTTCACAGTTCATAAAATGGTCAACATTCCCGCCATTTTTTTATTTGGGTTATGACATCAAAATCACTGTTTATAGCCAAACTTTACTCACAATATAAGACCGTAGTCCAAAATACTCCAAAACAATTATTAAAACTCTAAATAAAGTTCCATTTGTACCAATAAATCCTTTTTTAAAATCATTTTCACTAGCTACTAGAAAAAACGTCCGCCATAGTATCACGTATTATGATATCTTTTCTTGTACCTAGCCACACAAAGCGCTTGGCTGCAGTCGTGGTCTGATTTTGGTCTTCTGAATGTAGCCATATATAGCCCCGTCTACAAATATAAATGTCCTGTTGTAATAGACTGTTTATTTTATGTTGTAGATAGCGATTGACCCCGTGTAAAATGACTGCAGGAATGGACTGTATCCTAAAGATAGCCATGTATTGTCCCGTGTAAATTATTAAATGGTTTCAGTAATGATATATATATTTCTTTTGTAAAAACGTATGCCACAGATGTCTGCAGGAATGCGACTATATATTATTGTCTTAAAGGTACCATCCTATGATCCCGAGCCAAAGCTGAAATCGCTGCCGCAGTTACGTATAACCTATGTAAAATCTTAAATAGCTGCAGTATCTTACTTTTTATTGTCCTTTATAGATAGTGATGTATATACACATATGTAAGTTCTTTTTTTTTTGAGGCCCCATCTGGGTAACCCCGTTTATTTACCCCGTAATAGGTATGAGGGGGTCGGGGTCATCCTCCATCATACCTTACATTGTTAATATACAATATACATGTTGCAAAATAATTATATTCATGTAAATATTGTCAAATACAGCTACAGTACATACTTTGCATATAAATATAAACAATATACATACAATAAACCCAACTATTTTTCAAAAATATTTTACCAATAAAGAATACTACTTATTAACAATTAAACAATCTGTTACGAGGTAAAGTTTTGTTTCACATGTTAATTGTAGTTTAATCAATTAAGGATCTTATAATTGACCATCTATTATTTTCATCATCTGTCAGATGTGTATTTCTATAGATATTCCATGCTAGTTTCAAACTATTTTTAAAACCAATACACGTAGGTAAAAAGTTTTTTCTCTTAGACAAATAAATATATCTTTTCAATTCTAGAAACAATATGTCATATTTAAAATCTTTAGTTTCTGTACCTAATATGAATGATTTACAACAAAGAACATCATCAAAATTATGTAAGTTTTCTCTAAGGTATTGAAATAGGCTTTGAATTTTCTGAAATTCCCAAAATAAATGTAAAAGTGTTTCTTCACAGCATTTACAAAAAGTACACATTTTATTGTCAACAATTTTCATTTTAAACAAAAGTGAGTTTGTAGCTAAAGTTCTATGAATAATTCTTGTTTGGAACCACTGAATATATGAATCTTTAGAACATTTGAAAACATAACTATATATTAACTGCCAGTTAATTTTATTATCTTTAAAACATGTGTTCCACCTTTCTTGACTTGTAGGTATGTCTGAATTTTTAGCTATAATTTCATAAACATATTTCTTATTGTTATTCATAGTTAAAATAGGTTTAACATAACAATTTATTATATGATATTGAACATTAAGCAAATTGTTACTAATAAAAATATTTAACTTTTGCATGTACATTTTTATTGCCTGTTTTAAACTATGATACTGTAAAAAGTTCACAGGTTTACCTGTGACCTGTTCTAAATATATCAAATCTACAAATTTACCCTGTTCATTTATAATATCTTTTATAAATCTGATTCCTTTATTATATAATGTGTGAATGTAAATATATCTGTTTCCTGCTAAAAAGTTGTGATTGTAAAAAAGTGGCATATGTAATACTTGCTCTATATTATCTATACAAAGTTTATCTACAAACACCATATATTAAGCTTTTAAAACATCAATCCAGAAAGAATTTGTTATTTTGCTAATAATCAAATTACAAAACATCTTTCCAGTGTTAAAAAATTTATCAATATTAAACAATGTGTTTACTAGCTTATAACATTTACTTTTGCTATTACTAACATATCTTTTAAACCATTTTATCTTTAAACTATGTATATAACTATAAATATCAACCATGTTTAAACCGCCTTCTATGTATGTTTTAATAAGTACTGATTGTTTTATTTTTGCCTTGCCTTCCCGAATGAAATCATAAATAAGCTCATTAAGTGTTTTTCAAAAATACAGTATTTGGTGTTGGTAGGCTTGTGAAACAGTGAGTAAATAAAGGAAGCAATATTGACTTAATAACAGCAATTTTTCCTATTGGAGTTAATATTCTCTTTTTCCAGTGAATGATACTATTTTTTACTTTTTGAAGTTTTTCATTAAAATTTAAATCAATCATTTTTTCTAAATCAACATCAAATATTAAACCTAACAATTTGAACTGAGTATCACCCCAAGTTAATTTCCATCTTGTCTTAATTGACCTTGTACTATATTTAAGAGAGCCTATCCAAATAACCTTAGTTTTGTCAAAATTAATCTTTAATCCAGAAATTTCTGTAAACTTACTTAATAACTTTAAAGCAGTATCTAGTGATTTTTCTGAACCATCTAATAGAAGTGATGTATCATCTGCAAATTGATTAATTTTACATTCTTCCCCATCTATAATTATGCCTTTTACATCCTTACATTGTCTTATCTTTACTGCTAATATCTCTGCACATAAAATGAAAATATACGGTGAAATTGGATCGCCTTGCCTACAACCTCATCTAACTTTAAAAAAATTGGATAAAAAACCATTTAATATGACACAAGTTTCAGTATTATATAAAAACAGAGATATCCATTTCCTAAACATAGGACCAAAACAAAATAACGAAAGACATTTCTCAATAAATGTAAAAGACAGAGTATCAAAAGCTTTTTCAAAATCTACCAATATAATTAAACCTGGCATATTATTATCTTCAGTAAATTTCAATATATCATATAATAATCTAGTATTCTCACCAATATATCTATTCTTAACAAATCCAGTTTGATCTTTTGACACTAAAATATCTAAAACAGTTTTCAATCTATTTGCTATACTACCTGAAGCTAATTTATATACTACATATAATAAGGTAATTGGTCTCCAATTTTTTAAAAATTGTTTTGGCCTGTTTTCTTTCGGAATACATGTAATGGTTCCTAATTTCTGATTTCTAGAAAATGAATTAGCATTATATACATAATTAATAGCTTTCACAACAAAATGTCCAATTCTATTCCAAAAGGTTTTAAAAAAGTTAACTTCACATCCAGGACTTTTATTATTTTTCATATTTTTTCATGTATAAGAGACTTCATCGTACGAAAGGAGACCTTCTAGTTTTTCTGATTGATCCTGAGACAACATAGTAATATCACAATTCTCTGATTCTTTATCAATATCAGAGTCATGAGTCAAAACAACATTTTTATACAAATTTTCATAATAAGAACAAGTTTCTGTAAGTATATCTTTTTGATCATATATAAAAGTTCCGTCATCAAGTTCTAGGAAAGGAATTGTTTTAGATAAACAATGTGATTTTCTAAATTTAAAAAATAGTTAGTAGGTTTTTCTCCTAATTCAATCCACTGTGACCTAGACCTGATCATAGCACCTTTAATTTTATTGCATCTAAGTTCATTCAATTCATTTTGTAAATGTAAAAGTTGTCTTTATTTTCAATTGCTAAATTTTGTTCAATATGAATAATTTCTTTCATTAGTTGTTTTTCATAAACATTTCTTTCCTTTGCTTTAAACGAGCTATAAGAAATAGTTTTACTTCTAATTTCCATTAAAAGTGTCTCCAAAAAAAGTTCAGCATTAATAACAAAACATAACTATTTCTGTATTTTGTATATCTAAAATATAATCTATTTCATAAACTGGTAAACAATATTGTAATTTTATTTCATCTATTTTCTTATTTATTATATCAAGGAACTCAATGTCATGTAAAAGAGCATTATTAAATTTCCATAAACCTTTTCCATGACTAACAGAAACAAAACAAAAATCTAAATATATAATTGAATGATCAGATCTATAACTAACATCTATGTCACATTTACGTACAAACTGATACAGATTACTTGTTACAAGAAAAAAAATCTAATATGCCTTGTTGTATAGGGTTAGTTCGTGTCCATGTATATTTTCTGACATCACCATGTAATTCTCTAAAAGGGTCTATTAGGTCTTTTTCTTCAATAGCTTCTAATAAAAAATTTCTAGCCTTAATATTATGAACCTTTAATTTATAATTATGGTAATCTTAGTCTGGATTTTGAACAAGATTAAAGTCTCCACAAAAAAGTAATGAATCATTATCACTAAAAGAATCTAAAACATCAAAAATATTTTTAAAGAAATTAGGACTATCAATGTTTGGAGCATAAACCTTAACTAGTAGAACATTTATTGAATCAACTGATACTTGTAAAATTATAAAATTTCCAGAGTCATCAGTTTTAACTGAATTAATTTTAAAACATAAATT